CTCAACAGATTCTGTAGATTCAAGACCACAATACCTCTTGGTGCAAATCCAGAGGCAGTGTTTGAAAATCATCATTCTTGTTTCGCCACTTGAAGGCTCATGAAATACAACTGGCTCAGAAAAGGTCATCTGCCTGTCACTGAGCCAATCATGGTGTCAGGAGAGCTCTGACTAATTTATCCCCAGAGCAAGGGTGAGAAACAGAAACTGGGGAAGTGGTGGTCTCCCAGACAGAAATTACAATGAGTGGGGCTGATGAGCAGCCAAAGAACAGATGTCCTCTCTGCTTACTGCTGCAGTTAACAGGACTTTACACCTGCTTGCACCTTTAGTGACATATTTAACTCCAGACACTCGTATGCATCCTTTGTTAGGGAAAATTTTACAAGCCTCTCTACAACTATCCCTACCATGAAGGCATCTGGAGCCATGCAGACGCTTGGGGTTACAACAATGAATGAGACAGACCTTGTGTGGAGAAGAATAATCATGCGGAAGAATGATCTGACAGGGATAACAGGTGTGAAGCAAATGACTGCAGTTTTCTGTGACTTGCATGACAGTGGAACCTCAGAGTGTCATGAGAAAAGACAAGCCAGCCTCCCCTCTGCCCCTCGACACCAACCCTGGAGATGTCTCTCTTTGGCCCTGGCCTCTGGCTCTATTGTCCTCTGCAATCAGGAAGCTGCTCTGTGAGCCTGGGACACCCAGTAATGTCTGTCAACCTGTTGATCTCTCCCCACCTAAGAAATAAAACATAACTTCCATTTTTCTCACCTCAACATTTGGAGATAACTCAGTCTAGACTTGCTTATTATGTTTAATAAACTTAATTATGTATGATAACAAAAACACATAGTATTTACCATGTACAAAATATTGCTTTCAGCACTTTATAAAAGCCATTAACCAAAGCAAAGAAAATATGATGTTTTCAAAGTTCTGGTTTACTTGTCAATGGCATTTAAAAAAATAGTAATAGGATATCAAATTTACACATTTGGTAAGTATCTGTTGGATTTTTATAATGAGATCAGTTATAGTTTTTGGTTGACTACTATGTCCAGAGTGGGACTAAGAATTCTGCATGTTCAGTTATTTAATTATTTTGAACAAGCCTTGGAGATTCCTATTGGTATTTTCCCACTGTAAGAAAACTGAGCTCAGAAAAATTAAATGATTTTCCCAAGGTCTCAAAGCTAGTGAGTGGCTCAGCTCCAGAACTCAGCTTGTCTGAGTCTCGAATCAAACCGAAAACACTGTACTCATCTCTCCCTCCTAGCAGAAAAAGATGCGCTACCAGGCGCTAAGTAGGCAAAGTCCTCTCCATCTTGGCAATCCCAACAGAGATGTGAACAGTTTCAGAGAAGGGGTTCAGATGTTTTTAAGGACATCCTTAAAAAGTCCTCATCGGGCCGGGGATTTAGTTCAGTGGTTCCGCCACCTGCCTTGCAAGCGGAAGGACCCGAGTTCAATCCCTGGTACCAAAAAAAAAAAAGTCCTCATCTATGGAAAGCTTCATAGAAAGGATGAAAAGAGTAGTGAAGAAAACTGGTCCTTCAAAGAACAAGATAAGAGAATCAGGACAGTATCAGGGCTTCACCCTGATGTGCCACCTGATGAATTACAATCTATTGGAGTCTCCTTCATATGTCTGTTAATTGAAAGCTAACTAACAAAATAGCTACACCCTATCCCTCTCTACAGCTTCATGACTATGAGTAATCATTATCCAGAAAAATGTTATTTTTTTTGTTCAAGTTAATTTATTCTTTGAGTCTAAACCCAGTCATAATTTAAGGTTGAAGTGGCCTAATGATATAATAGACACCAAGGATTAGCAGCACTGCCCAGATTGGTATAAGTGTTCAGGATACCACCTTTCACCTGAACTTGGCAAGATCTCCAGTAGGGCTAACATGATTAGCTTTACCTGCAAAAACGCTATCACCCATATCTATTCCAGAAGAGTACATCAATGCATTCTGTGAGTAGCTATTACATTTTTATAACAATGTCAGTTATGCTTATCCGAGTGTTTGCTTCATGTAGAGTGATGCAACACTGCTAGGCAGCCTACTCATTATTCTTTTTTAGCTGCATTCATTTATTGTTTTTGCCTTGTCACTGGAGCCTGTGTATATCCGGCTTCATTTACAGCATGGCATAATAACTAACTGCATGGTGCTTTAGATTTTCAGGTTCTTCTTACATATTTTAGTTCAGTTCATTTCCCCAAATCCTATTCTTAGACCCCAGGACAGTTTAAGCAACCTAAACTCAGAGCCCTTACATAACAGGCCCAGGTCAAAAATAACAAATGGAAGAGCTGAAACTCCAATTTTTGATTCCAAACTAAGTTTTCATTCTGGAGATTCTCACTGCCCCAGAGACCCGGTACCGACGCTGTCTTCTTGAGCACTGTACTTGCAATACTTGGCACAACATCAGGCACACAGTGGGTTTTTATTCAGTATCTTTTTTTTTTTTTTTTTGGTATCGGGGATCGAACTCAGATCCTCACGCTTGAGCAGCAGGCTGCGAAACCACTGAGCTAAATCCCCAGCCTTTCATTCAGTATCTTTTATATTATGAATGAATTAATAAACAGTACAGTTTCAGGATTTATCTAGTTCAACTCTTCAGTTCCATACGTAAGACAGAAATCTAAGATTGAATAAATTCTCCAAGGATAATTTGTTTTAGACTTCAAACAAGCTTCCCTTAATAGTAATCTACTGAAGCCAATAATTCTTATTATGATTACTGTATTATACTTTTAACTCAGCAGGTCTGTTGTCAACTCATAATTCTTATTTTTATTGCAATTGTTCAATAGAAAAACAGATGTTCTGGTGTTTGAGAGTGGGAGAGTCCTGAACACTTTCACACATGGTGGCCAAGGAACTTTTGCTAAAATGTGACTTTCCAAGTGGTTGGAGGAACAGTCAACAACTTAGAGAAGAAAAGAAAAGAAGCACACTATTGTAGTAACACAGAACAACACGTTCCCCATTTCCCTCAAGTTCACTCTCCCTGAGGTTTGGAAAGTGACAGCCTCCCACTTCCAGCCTTTGAATTCTCATGATATCAAGGTCTGAATTCCCAGTTCCACTTAGTAATGATGTGACTCTGAGAAATTTCATGATTGCCTTCTCCTAGAATGTGGGAAAAGAGTGCTCTTTAAGGGAGGGGCAGGGATTAAAAGCAAAGAATTAAGAAATGTTATATACATGTACCAACTCCCCAGGATGAATATAATCATTATATACTACAAACACATACTGATAAAAAATAAATAAAGCATGGAGCCGGGGATTTAGCTCAGTGGTTCCGGCGCCTGCCTCGCAAGCGCAAGGTCCCGAGTTCAATCCGGGGTACCAAAAACAAAACAAACAAATAAATAAATAAATAAAACAATGATTGAGAGCATTTAAACAGTTGTTGCAAAGAACTAGAATATACCACAAACCTCTGAATGTTCATTATTTTCCTTAGAGAGTGGGAACTTGTCACTAATGCTATTACCTGCATCTGTCTTTACAGATTCTTTCAACATTTGATTCTCAAATCGTATCACCTTTTAAAATTAATATTTTAATAACTGAATAATAGTATATATTTATTTAATCTTTTCACTAAGCAAAATACTACCATAAACCAAATACACAGATTTTCTTATGAGAGGGCAGAGATGGTCAACTATTATGTCTAAGTATATAGCATACTTTATAGCTTCTATTTGTCAAAAGATTTTATATTTGAATTTATAATGTAAAATGATTAAACTATATTTTAAAGATAATTGATAATATATAATCTTAGCATTTTTTACCTTCTGCATAATTCATGAAGCTCAGAGCATTGTATCTTCTGATTGTTTGGCTATATGATATTTAATTGGTGCCTATTGCTAGCCATATTTTCCTTAATTTATAATTTCAAAAATTTAAAGGTACTTGGTATATCCTGATTCTGCATCAAAATAAATATACTCTGATACTAATAATAACTGTGGCTAGGTTTTATTATCTATAGCAATGGAGGCCTCTTAAAATGAAGACACACAATTCTTGATGCACCATAATATAGTAATTTAATATTTTGAAATCATGATGTCAATATTCATCATTTATTTTTAGCTCTGCAAGAAGAAAACATCAACAGAGATGATTGCACTCTCTGCATAACCAGCTGAATTCTACTCCAGCCTGGTGTTCAGTTGAGCCCAGTGTCCTATGGGCACAGTCTCTTCCTGCTCAATCCCAGCCCCTTCTCTTTCCTTTCAAGTCAATCTTATTGCCAACCACATCACCACCAAGAGTCTTTCCAGTTGTCCCACTCTTATTTTTTAATTCCTTGTTCTGAAGTCTATTATATTTTGGCAAGTCACATCCAACCTGCTTTATATGACTCAAAACTGTTCCTTTACCTTATTTATATTGACATGGCAAGTGTAAGGTAACATCTCATCACTGTGGATGTTATGAAGCAACAGTTGAAAGAAATTATACAAAAACACACCTGCCATATATAGCAAGCGCTTGATAATTACACAGTACTTTTAGTTCTACTCTTATCATTAATTCATCTATAGTTAGGCTACTGTTAATTCAATATTTCCCTGACTCTCTTTTATACCTACCACAGTTTAATTTTTATGTGCATATCAAGACTATAAATTCTTCTAAAGAATGTCATGTCTTCTATTTCTTTGCATGCTTTAAGTAGAAATAATGAAAGCTATATGAGGAATAGTCTATCACATCATCATATTACAGGAACACTCTAGGGTTGGATTATTATAGCATTTAATAGATGCTAAAATTGAAACAAAAATAGCTCATAGTGGCAGAGCCACAGTTCAAACCCTAACAGTTTAATAGCATAGCTTGTTATAACATAAATACAACTTCTAGTGTCCATCTTAGTTCTTGCATTGTAAGAACCAATAAGATCTTGTTGTTTTCAGCGTCTTCTCTGACTCTTCTCCCTTGCAGATGGACCCCCATGAGAACATTTTACTGAGCACTCTAGAGATCAAAAATGAAATGGCCACATCGGAGGCTGTGATGGGACTTGGAGACCCTAGGAGCACAATGCTAGCTTATGATGCCTCCAGCATCCAGTATCGGAAAGCTGGGTTGCCCAGGCATAGTTTTGGCCGAAATGCTCTGGAACGACATGTGGCACAAAAGAAAAGTCGCCTGCGGAGACGCGCCTCCCAGCTGAAAATCACCATCCCCGACTTGACTGATGTGAATGCCATAGATCGGTGGTCCCGCATATTCTTCCCAGTGGTTTTTTCCTTCTTCAACATCGTCTATTGGCTTTACTATGTGAACTAAAATATGGCCTCCCATGGGAAGCAAGGACTAGATTCTTCCTCAAAACAGTTGTACAGCCTGACATAGGACTTGGAAAACACATCAATCTGGGACAAAAGTGATGCTAAAATACCTTAGTTGCTGGCCTATCCTGTGGTCCATTTCATACCATTTGGGTTGCTTCTGCTAAGTAATGAATACACTAAGGTCCTTGTGGTTTTCCAGTTAAAATGCAAGTGATCTGTACACGTGGGAAAAACTGAAGCTGAGTGTTCCACACTATCTGCTTAATACATAGCCTACTCAGAGGGGAAATATCTAGATGATATTCTGAGACAGCTCAATAGCACTGTCAGTCATTTTCCGGAAATGTTCCTAGTCAGATACTCTACATCTCATGCCTAAGGTTGACATGCTGTGGAGACAGCACTGTGCTTATGAAACATTATCTGCAACATCATTTGAGCATGTTAACTCCAAGATGGTCTGCGCTGGTCTTCCTAAGGTGATAATGGTGTCAGGGGAAGGTAACTCCCACTGGACTAGTAGTTTCTCTCTCATGTAAGTGGAACAGGATCAGGGTGGAGAGCTGGAGCAGGGAACAGGCAGAGATTCAGGAAACCAATTAGACCTATCTCTTTGTTGGCTTCATCACGGGGAAATCAAGAATAATGATGACTTTCATTCCAACATTTAGACGTAGAGAGACTTGTGAATATTATCATGCATGGCTGCCAATTTTTTTTTTTTTTTGCAAAAATGCTGTTTGGGAGGTAGCTAAAATAAGAGTTAATGACATGACACAGAGCAGGGTCAAAAATCCAGAAATGACTATTGTAACAAAACTGAAGCAAGCAAGCAAGCAAGCATGGCCTTTATTGGCTCCACTCAGCATCTGGTCTACACACACTGTGTCCAGTAGAAAGGGTAGACTGCGAGGTATCTATTTTCCAAACTCAGAAGCTGCTGACAGCATATCTAAAAAGGTTTTTATAGTTTAACTTAAAGATGGCCATGAAATAGTAAAGTTAGAAGAATTAGAAGTATTGTAGATGTTCATGTTTGATTGGGAGTCATTCACGTATACAGATATAGAGCCAGACAAAGCTAACAGGTTGTTTCTCAGACAATGGCAGCTGTTTTGTAACATTTCCATACAAGTTTACTTCTGAATTTAATAGGGTATTTCAAAAGGAGGATATATTCATTGCTTTCCAGCTTTTCTTGCTTCTAAAATTCCGACTATGTTCTTAGGTGATGGATGGAGTAAAACTCTGGAGAGATTGAGTGAACTTGATTTTCAATGAATTTCATTATATTTCAAAATGAAATTTACCTTTCTGTCTTTCAAAGCAACCAGTACTTTGATGAGTATGTGCATAAAGACCTTAGTTTGCAGGTTAGTTGGTTTTGGGTTTTTATGGGTGCTTACTTTGTGTGTATTGCATTCTGCCAATCAAATATATAAAAATCGGTAAACAATAAGATAAAAACAAAGCTGCATTAATGAGATGAGTGTTATGAGCCTGAATTAATATTACAGAAAAATATATAACTGAAAATCAGGCTGGTACGATGTATTCTTTTATTCTATTTTTAAATTAGTCATTGTGCTTCCTTCTATAATTGGACATATGCATTCATATATTGGACAAAAAAGAGAATAAGCTAATATATTTTATTTCTATCAGTGTGAGGCTCAAATTTTGGTTTTCTTATAGTAAACATAGAATTACTAAATTTTCCATAAAGTTTGATTTGACTGTACTTTTCTCAGAGGATTACTTTGCTATTTCTCTTTTTTAAAAATGCCTCTTTTCAGAGTAATGTCCCTAATTATGCGTGGGAGCAAAGGCTAGTACCTTACAATGGACAAAATGATGCTTTCTTCCCTTCGTGATTCAGTATCTTGGGCTATTATGAAGCCCCACTGTCCTTCCATTCCAACTATCAGAGAACAACAATATAAAAATAAAGATTTATCATTCAACATTCTGAATTTACTCCAAGGCAAGATGGTATTTTTTTCCACCAGTGTAAGGAAATCTCGCTCCTACTGTTTGATTACATATTTGAATATCTCTGAATGTAATCTTTGGGCAGAATCTAACTAAGCTTCCTCCATTTATTCTCAGAGTAGAGATGCCTCAAGTTTCTACAGGGACACACTTCTTCCTAGGTAACCATCCTTAGACATCACACTGATAAAAGTGCCTACCCCTTCTCACCTGGGGGTAAAGTCTGAGTAGAAAACAACAGGAAAGAGCATATCAATAACTCAGGGGCACAACTCTAAAATGCCGTTTTGGAATGGTTTTTCTAGAGACAACTCAGAGCCTAAGTTTAAAAGTGGGCTCTTGTTTGCAATTTCTGTAAAAGCCATAAAAATTCTTGATATTGTCATTTATGATTACACCATCATTTCGGTTATCTAGGGAAGTCAACAGAGCAATCTAGATCAAAATGGAGAGAGGCATCTTCATAGCATGAGCCGCAAATGCATGTGACCAGGAAATCACTTCTGCTATCCATGATGCAAAGAAGCCATCCAAAGGAGAAAAGATGAGACCTTGGAACAAATCTCGTAGGGAGAAAAATATAGCATTCATGAACCATGTAGACAGAAATACACTGGCTCATCCTGTTCAGAAATAACAGTACGTGTAGAATTTATTCTTATGTAGTGAATTGGAATGCAGTTGTCAAATGCTAGGAAGGGTGCTAGGCCTGATAAATCTAGGAAGACCAGCCAGCTTGATATCTAGTGGCTAAACTAAAGGACCACAAAGGTGCATTTTGGCAATTCTGAAATGGTTTTACTATCAGTTTATACATATGTACAGTTTTTCTTTTGATTATAAAACAGCCAGATAGCCAGCAATTAAGGTGTTTTTTCATCTTTGTGAAACACATAAGCAAATTCTGACTCTAAAATGCTCAGTCTAAACGAAATCTTTGATCTCAATCTGTATATACATATATTGTACATGACTGCTAGTAGGTATGAAATGCATTTCAGAATTGAAAACCCATGCAACATAATCATGGGTTTGCATAGGAATGTTACAGTTCTTTCTACTGCAATTTAATAATGGGAAAAGACTCAATCAGTGCCATCTAGACCTTTTCTCATTCCTTCAAAAGCAGTGCTAAGTAAGATAATAATAATGCTGATTTATAAACCAAAAGACTTTACATTTTAGCACTAGGAACACAGAAAATAATCTGTCAGCTTTCAAAAGCACAACATGTGAAGAAAGTACAGTAGAATGAATAAAGAAATGAATTGCATTTTTTAAAGCAGGACCTGCATTAAATTGGCAAACAAGACAATTTCCATTTTCTAGAGGTAACTGTGTTCCAGTTTTATGATTAACTTCATATTCAAGAACATAAACAAGAAAACAACACCAGTAAAAACAAGTCTTACAACATATGTATATATGTGTGTATATAGATCCATGTAAACATACGTACATGTATATGCATTCATATGTTGGAAAACAAAAGGAATAAGCTAATATGTTTTGTTTTCTTTATTAAACCAGTATATGAGTATTTTTAATTTGGCAACCAACAATCAACACATTGAAATAAGTAACACAGGGTACTGAGCAATTCTCTATCAGCAAATCAATGCCTAGAGTTCTTATGAACCATTGCACATTTTGACACTATAATAGTACTGTACCTCAGAACATAGACGTTAACTTGTTCTCATGTTGCTTGTCTAATTGCTCTCTTTTTCAAGGACATAAATAATTTTGTTCACTGGTAATTTTCAAAAATGTCTTAAGAGAATGAAAAAAATGATGAAAATTCCTCCTGGAAAGAAGGGAGAAAAGAGAGAAAAACTAAACCTACCATGTCAATTAGGGGAAAATACAACTGTAGCAATCATACCATTTTGCTAATTGTACAGAATACATGTTACGTGAGCAAACATAACTTTCTCTGAGTGTGTGTAAATACTAAAACAGATTTCTTAAATATTTTTAACTTCTAATTTGTATTTTATGGTAAGGCAACATGCTAATTCTGTTTATGGCTTAAGTCGTGTTATAATATTATGTAAATAATTAAACATGTTGTAAATGAATAGTCCGTAGATATAAATAATTGTTTAGTTTTTTCATTAATTTTTATTTGTTTTTACAAAGTACAGTAACTGGAGTGCCCCACAGAGTAATTTAAACACCCTTTTGCATAAATAGTTTGGGAATCTGACAGAAGAGTTTCAGTTTGCTCTCTGAATCTCTCTCTTTCTCTCTCTCTTTCTCTTTCTCCCTCTCTCTCTCTCTCTGACACAATTTTTCTCTCCTTTGTTTTCTCACTCGCATTCTTTCCCTCTTTAGAAGAAACCCTGTTGTGGTTTTTGTCATCAGTAAGAACCAAGAGAAAGCCTTAGAAATGGAAAATGGGAAAAAATGATTATTGAAAATATAGAATTTTTATATGTCAGAGAACAAGAAACCAAAGTTTGCACTTTAAGTCTCAATTTTCAAAAAGTAAAAGTTTGTATTGATGGCACTACAGAAAATAAAAATGCTTCTTCATAAAAACTCCAGAAATTTGTTACACAAAATGGATACTAGAAGACTTTTTTTAAATAGTAGCATTTTGTCCTTAGCTAGTATTGTTCCTTTCAACCAAAGACTCCAGAATTATTTTTTAAAAGGAAAGAAAAAAGAAAGGAAATGGGAAAAAATGACACTGCTTCACACCAAAGGTTTAAAAAACATTTTCCAAATGCACTAAGAAGGCCATAAAAACTAGGAAGGAGTCAACAGAATGCTAAAGAAAATACTGTCCTAAAGACATCACTTTCAAACCTGGGGGAGGGAGAAAGCAGCACTCTTGAACAGCTTAGAATTTTGGAAATTGAAGACCATTTCTGTTGATATGTGCAGAATTCTGACATGAAATTTTAATTTGTTTTGAGTCTTTTTGTGATAAATATGATTCAAAATAATGAACACAAAAACTGTATTGAGTTCCAAAACCAAATGTCACCCCTGTCGTGTATCCTCTAATCTGATGCCCATGTCTGTGTCCTTGAACTGTTTGAAACAAGCTGACATTCCATCAGCTTGTATCGATTTTGTTATTCAATAGTTTATCTATGTCAATATTAAACATAATTCAAACCTAGTTACCTATAATTTAAATTCCATGGTATTTTAAATTTTATTTGCATGGGTGTTTAAATGGTTCTGTTATGAATATTGTCCCTGCATAGTTCTGAACTGTCCTTTTATAAAAAGTGATATTCTAGTTTCTTCACAATGTAGTGATTATCAGCCTTACTAATTACCTTGTAGCCTTTCTTAACATGCACATAATGCACATTTTCCAATGGCTAGAAAATGCAAAACATAAGTGGATATCACTGCATCTATTTTCATGTCTTTCTAAAAACAAGACTACTCAATCTCTGGGATACATGAGATAGTAAAAAAATGAGGATTATTAAAGAATAGCACATAAGAATTATTTTCTTGAATTTAAACTTATTGCAGCCAGTCTCAGCATGTAAATATATAATAATGTTGGCTAGTGTGTAATTCTTGAACTAAGAAATATAAATAAAAATTAAAAGTTTGTGTGTGTTGTTTCATTGTGTCCAGGATATTTTTTTTTAATTTTTAATGTGAGTCACATAGTAGAATCACAGCTTTTGTGAAAACCTTGGGAGTTTGAGACCTGCTGTTAGGAAAACTTAAATGAGAGGTCTGATTTTGGACTTAGGAGGCATATGATCCTGTAGCCACCTCATTCATCCAACTCTCAGTTTTCTTTTTGAAAAAGCTAAGACATAATTCCACTTCCTTTATAGTGTAGTTGTAAAGGTGAAATGAAGGGAACTCATGAGGAGCCCTTAGTAGAGTACAAAGTGTGTGGGAAGTGGTCCTTAGGGTAGATGCTGTTGGTGTTGTTGGTAACCGTCATTCTAGAACATTCGGCATGTATCTCACAAGTTCTGTCACAACAGCTAAAACTTAGCAGAAATTATTATTCTCTTTACATATTATGTTAAAGATAACTAAGAACTTGTTTCCATCATGGAAACATATGTCAAACATAAGGGGCTCATTTATTTAGCATGTAACATGTATCTACTGAAGAAATACTAATTACTTTCCAAACTTGATCTTCACTGAATTCTCACCATAGTGAGAGTGGCCCACAATAGAGTTCACATTTTTCATTCTTTCATTCTGTGAGTGGACCAAGTGTAAGTAGAAAAAAAATGAAAGATCTTTTATTCACTTAGTTTTCTTTACAAATTTAAGAACACCCCTGAAGGGATCAGAGTTCCACTCAAGGCTGGCAATCTTTCAGAGGAGGTTTGCCAAGTCTTCATTTATTCATTTTAATTTCTCATCCTACTTGCCAGAAATTCATTTGAACATGAAGAGAATCTTTCACAATATATAAAATGAAGCTATTGATGCATACAAAGTACAAAATGATTAATAAATAAAAACTTTTAAATGTTTAAAAAGCTCAAGCTAAAATTAAATGACAAGGGGATCTTGCCAGTGTGAAGGAAGCTTTTCCAGTACCAGCTTTGGTAGATAACAAGGCCTTGGTACCTCCCAGGGGCTCTGGTTCAAGGAGCAGTCGGGGGGCACCTGGGACAGCCTTTGTGGGATCCATAGTTTTGAGTGGACAGGAAAAAGAGAGTGTGTAGGGAGCTTTCCAAGCCCACATACACATGCAGAGCCTGGCAGGTCTTCCGATTTTCAGTCTCCCTTTCCCAGATCAACAGGGGTCTCCACAAAAAAACAGAACCAATGGTATATATACACAGTGTGATCAAACTATGTGGTGAATATTTAAATTTTTTAAATTTATTACAGTAAAAGACACTTGCTATTAATCTCCCTCAGAATACTCCCGTTTACAACTAATAATGACATCACTCTCCTTGCCACTTTCTGAAGCAGCTCTGGAAGTTTTCATTAAAAAGTGTGATAAAAAAAATATGGTGAATATTCTTGCCTAGTGTCAGTATAGTGAAATATAAAAGGCAGGCTCATAAAAACATTACAGTGTGTTCTTATTCACCAGATCTGGCACTGTGCAACTCTGGTTCATTCCCAAAATGACCTTGAAAGGCAAATGTTTTGTGTTGATTCAGGAATCCAGGCACCCATGACAGTGCAACTAAAAACATTAATGAAAGAAGACTTCCAGAACTGCTTTGGAACTTGGTAAGAATAATGGGGTGTGTTCAAAGCAAGGGAGATTATTTTGAGGGGGATTAATGCCAACCTATCTTTTATTGTAATAAGTTTTAAATGTAGACCTTCACTGCATATTTTGATCACACCTGTATACCAATATGCAGAGCTCTATTATAACAAATTTACTCACATGATTATGGAGGATGGCAATTCCAAAATCTGCAAATTGGACTAACAGGCTGAAGAACCAAGGAACAGCCAGTGTTGTGGCTGTTCAAAGACCATGTGCTGGGAGAACTCTTTCTTGCACAAGGGAGGTCAGGGCTTTGTTCCATTCAGGTATTCAACTGATGGAACATCATCAACTCACATGTAAAGGGTGTCTACTTTCCGCAAATGTCACCAATTTAAATGCTAAATGCTCCCATGTGACACATCTAGAATAATGTTTGATTATATATCACAACAATGTGGCCTGGCTAAACTAACACGTTAAATTAACCATCACACTAGACTTTGTCCTATAACATAGCCAAGAAAATGTTTTCAGAATGTAAATATGATCATGTCACTTCCCTGCTTTAAATCCTCCCAACTTTTTACTTTGACCTTAGGAAAAACTTAAACTTTTCATGGCAACCACATTGTGATCACTTTGTTGCTTATTTTTAGATCTTGTTTCTTCCATTTTCCCTTGAACCCCTTAGCTCCCTCCAAGTGGCATCATTTTTGATTTCATGGAGACACTGTTTGCTCTTACCTGTAGTCCTTTGTACTTATTGTTTCTTCTTCCTGAAAACTTTTCCTCACCCCTCAAACTCTCTCATTAATCTGTCTCTATACACTTTTTTCTTAGTAAAAAGTTAGATATCACTTCATTTGGGAGAGATTTCTTAATTCAAAAGTTGATTTATTCCTAGTATCTAGCATCCTCTTCAACACAGAGCATATTGTATTAGTTGTGGCTCTCTAGAGGAACAGATTCAATATAAACTACACGCATGATTATACAAGGGGTTTATCGGGTAGGTTTACAAGATCAGAAGTGGAAGCATCCCAATGACTATCTGCCAGATCAGTGACAGAAGAACCTAAAATGGCCATCTGTGCATGGAAAGCCAGGGGATGCAGTAGCAGTCAATGGACAAAGGCCTGGAAACTCACTGCAGAGTCACAGGTGGAAGTTTGGTTAGGAAGGCTGAAAAGTCTGCACTGAAAGGCTGAAGGAACTGGAGATCAATGTCCAAAAGCAGTGATGAAGACTGAAGCCTCTTCTAAAAAGACAAACTCGTCCTTCTTTCCCTTTTTATTCTGTCCAAGCTACAAGCCCATTGGTTGGTGTCACCTATATCCAGGTGGGTCTTCCTCCCACTCAGTTTGCTGGCCTACATTCAGTCGTCCACAGACACAGCCAGAATACAGCAATTTGCTAGGTGGTTCTTACTCGAGACAAATTAATACATGACAATTAATGATCACACTTATCCTTTTTAACTATTTTGAAATATCTGAATAATATACAGGTGTTCTGCAGAACTAAGAGTAAACCTGAGTGTATTACTGTACAGTGCTAAGTGCCAGCAATCATTATTTAATAGTAGACACCTTGCTCATGGGAGCAACCTTCTACTTAGCTGTCTCTGGGCTTTGTTCCTACTTCACTAGTTGTCTCATCTCACAACTCTTCGCTAATTTCCAACCTTCTCCCCAACATCTTTATGTTGAAATGCCTTTAATTTACATCTTCTCTCCATACCTCTCTTCAAAAGCCCAAGCAACTTCTTGATATTGTGTTTTAGATGTCCAATACATATCCCAAACATAAAATATTCAAAACTTATTTTTCTCCCAAAGTTGATAGCAGCTTCAGTTACTATGGCCAAGAACTCTGAACCCATATTTTACTTTTTTTCTTCTCGCTTTACACCTAACGCATCAGAAAATTATAATATCTGTCACTTCATAATATATCTAAAATATAAGTACACCCCTCCCCCATTACCACTCTTGTCTAAGTCACTTTAATATTGTAACAATTCTTTCCACAGTGTGTTAATTGCACTTTCTGCTGCAATACTTGCCTCCTTACCCAGTGTTATCAGTTTAGCAGCCAGAGTAATCTCTTTATTTAAAAAACATCACATTATGGAATTGCTTTGCGTTTTAAAATAATGGCTTCCCATTTCAATCAGAACAAAAGAAAAAAATTCTTAAAACTTCCCCAGTCCACATATAGCCTAATGCTCAATACTTTGCTACCCAGATGCCAATTCTCCTGGCTCTCTGAGCTCCAGCCACGGAGACCTCAGTGTCCAACTATAATAAGCAAGGTATACTCCCTTCCAGAATTTCTACTCTGTTCCCAGTCTCTGGAACCATCTTTCCAGAATGTGCTTAACTCCCTCACCTCTTTTGAGTTTTTCACTAGGACCTATCTTTACCATCTTATTTAGAATTGCTTCCTTCCCTCTACTCTCAAACATCTCACTTCCCAGTCCCAGCTTATCTTTTATTTTCTCTATGGACGCTGTCATACAGAAAATGTATTCTTTATGTTGGTTGCAGTATTTCTTCCTTGCTAGAATGTGCATCCTTAGGGTATGGGTCCTTTCTGCCTTTTTTGCTGCTATTTTCTAATGTAGAAAAATACACGTTATTTTTCAAATATGAAGTAGTTTACAAATATTGAATGGATGGATGGATGGATGATTTCAATAACTAAATACCTTTCCAATACAGCCAGTATTTATATACTGGTAGTACTTTATAAAGTACTGGGTACTTTATAAAAAGAATATAGCTTTGGTAACAGCCAATATTTCCAATTTAGTAAGGGTTGGTGTAGTTTTGTATTTTTATAAGCATTTCTAGGTAAATATCATGACCACCAACTTCAAATTTTGAGAACACTGTTAAAAATCCCTAAGAATCCTCATTTAGCCTGGTAATGTCAGTGTCTTAAAACTTGTTTTTTCTGCAGTATTGAATAGTAAGCACAGAATCTTCTCAGTATGTTATTTGCCTACCCCTTTCTAATGTTTTTAAACAGGGTCTTCCTAAGTTGATAAGCTGCCTAGGCTGAGCCCAAACTTGGTTTCTTCCTGCCTCAGCTTCCCAGAGTGCTCTGTTACAGGTATGTACCACCATGCCTGGCTTCTTAAAACTTTCTGAGTTGTG